TCCCTCCCTCCCTCCCTCCCTCGCTCCAGCTTGCTTCTCTCCATTTGTTTTCAACAGCTGACCTCCCAATCTGCCCCGTCCCCTTCTCCCGTATTATCAGCCTCCTCCAATCGATCCAAGCCGCGATGAAACAGCAGAACCAAAAGACGGGGGCCACAAAGCCACGGTGCTTGGCAGGACAGGGCAGCAGGGAGAGGGCACGGGGTGGCCCAGGGAGGGTTTCCCTGGCCACTCTTTGAGCAGAGCTCGCCTGCAGCCACAGCAAAGGCAGGATCTTACAGCGCTGTAGAGTCAGAATGCAAACCAGCTAGGTTAGGGACAGAAATAGGGCAGAGAGAAAGACTTGATGCAGGCTACGCGCCAGAGGCACAGAAAGGAAGGGCTGGGAAGTGCTCACGATGCAGAAGGGAAAGGGGCAAGGGAAAGAAACAGCGCTGCAGCCTGGTTAGCCTACTGAACGCCATTTGTCCAAGTGCAAGCCTATGTAGCATTTGTAGCAGCAGCTAAACTGACTGCCAGGCTGCTGTTTGCAAACAGTCTCTGTCCTACCGCATCTTGCGATCTGACACACTTGAGAATCCCTTCAGATGAAACAGCTTTTTGACCTCAGGCAGACCTGGGAGCAGTTCTAGCTTTTCACAGGCTCCTTTTTCTTGCTTGTAAGCAAGAGAAATTAGAGTTTGTCTCCAAGACTCAGCATTTCAAAAGTCAATATAAAAAACATTTGATATTTCACACAAAAATTTCAAGAGCAAAAGCCATGCAACTTTAAGTAACTTAGAGCATCTTCTGTTTTACGCCTGTATTGCTCTGCAGTCTCTTCACAGAATACTCAAGAGCACTGCAGCAAGGAACTCCACACACCAGTAAGGATTAAAAACTTTAAAACAGCCATGCACTGGCTTCCTTTGGTGGAAAAAAGAGTTGGTGTCAGTAGAGTCCCTGATGAACTGAGTTGGCATGGCAGGTCAGGGCTGTAGCCCCTTACATCAGCCATCACCTCCTCACAGATAAAGGCTGTTATGCCTGTTAGAGAGCAGTGTTATACAACCCTGGAAATATCACTGCTTGCAGGTAGAAATTCTGACTTACAGATTTTCATTACTTTGATCAGCTACAACAATCCTCTTAGCATTACTGCAGCAACTTTACTGGCCCATTTCCTCATTAACATTTAATTTTTTTCTACCAAGGAAATCACCACCAACACCCTAAAGAGTGCAGCCAAGGAACCCCTGGCAGAGCCACTGTGGAGCAGAGGTGAGACCAAGAGGTTGTGCGGCACGTGCACTGCGCACAGGCTGCTCCTCACGCTCCTGGACACCGGTGCCCCTATGCCCCACCACAGCAGTCGTTCCCAAACAAGATTTATTTCTTTTTTAAAGAAATCCTCCACGCGGCATAGCACGCATCCAGGATCAGGTTTATGGAGAAAGGAGGGTTGCAAGGTCGGACACGGGTCCCGCAACAGCACGAGGAGACTATGCTGTCAAACACACGTGCTACCATAAGACATCTCCTGTTTGACAAAGGTCCTGCCGTCCCCTGGCACCGCACGTGCCTCTGCCAGGTGCCAGGTCAAAGCTCACGGGCCCACCCGGTCCCAGGGAGGCACGGAGTCTCCCGGCAGGAGCCACGCTTATCTAGAAGGGGCAGCGCAGGGAGCGCCAACAGGGCCCCTGCAGGGAACGCCTCGTTCCTCCACGCTGCCACCTCGCCCCGATATTTAGAAGAGATGCTCTTTTCCCTCAAAGGGTAACACCAATGTCACAGAGGAGGAGGGAAAGGGTATGTCCACGGGGGTTTTCACCCCTTGACTCCGGGAAACTTGAGGAGCCCTAGATAGCTGGGCTGCCCCCGTACCCGGGAGAGCTCGGCGGTCTTGTCTGTCTCACCGCCAAGACCCCGAATATTTTTGTTATTTCAGAAACCCCATTTCCCTAAGAACCCTATTTTTGTTTGATCAGCAGCTAGAAGTCGAATGGCACAGACAGCACAGGGCGACAACTCGTAACAAAGAGCACGGACGCAGCGATCTCCGTGCAGGCACGCCGGTACCCCACCGAAAGGGACCCCGGTGCTCGGCGAAGGCAGGCGCGGCGCTGCCAACGGACAGGGCTGTGCCTGGGGAACGCGGTGCAGGGCGGTCAAACAGGTCCTGCGGGCGTGAGGCAGAGCCACCGGGACACCCCGGGTCCTGCCCGGCGAGCGTTTACTTCAGGAGGGACACACTGACACCCCCCCATACCGTGCCGGTATTTCATGGACACGCAGACTTAGGAAGGTGTAATGACGCAGAGGCGCGGAACTGGCTACGTTAGTCGTTTCACCCGGCCCCGCGGATCCCGCCGCAGCGGGGACACCCACCACCCGCCCCAGCTGCGGGCCGGCACCCCCGACAGCGTTTACCGCCCGCGTTAACAAAGGAGAGCGAGCAGGCCGCGGGCGCAGGGCCGCGCTG